TTGTTTGCAATATAATTCTCTATAATTTTTATCCCATACATAATAATAATGGACCGTATTCGAGATATTTGAGAAAATGTGTAAATTTCGAATTTTGATGAAAACTCAAAAACGGATAAAGGAAAAAACATTAAATTTTAAACTTGTTTTATTTCGGCCTGAGGTAAAATGATTAGATTTTGGACAAAGCCGGAACATCTGGGGGGGGGGTACTTTATGGGTGGCCGTTTTTATATTTTATGGAATATATATTATAGAAAAATGTGTCGAGTTAGATGTATGTGGAAAATGTATATATTTAGTTTATCCTCTAAACATTTATAGAGGTGCTGCAATAGGTTGTACAAAATAACTGGAAAAAGCATATAATAACTAGATAGGAAAGTCATGTGTTGGACACATCAGATTTTTTAATCAAAGTGAGGTAAGTAATTCGCTCCTCAGGCGACTCGAACTATGGTTTCCCCACGACTTTTAGGCAGTATGTGCAGTATATTGTCTTTATATTTTAACTTTGTTCAGACGCTTCGACGAGATATTGACACTATAACTTGGACAATGTCCCCGAATACCATCGTATTGATCGTATAAATTTTTTTTATACCGTACCTTAAAGGTAGGATCTCTTTTGGGCGAGTAGTCGATACGTTTAGACGCGGCGTTTAATCGTGCCGATAGGTTAAATAGTGATATCATAATGATGGTCTGATTTAAGCGATAAGTCGATACAAGTCGCCACAAGACGACGCGTCTTATGGCAAAATTGGTCGTCAGGCAGTTTAAACGCGCACGTTTATTTAATCGCTATTGATGAAAAATAAGCTCCAAAGCTGGTGAACTTAGATTCTCCAAATCGGAAGACGAAAAATTAATTTAATTAGAATTCTCCTGTAGCCAAGTACCTAAAAATAAAATACCGTTTTGCATATTTCTACAGGCAATATTCTCAACATTAAATACTTTAACACTAAAGCAAACTTTACCATTGCTGTAATTGGCCTTTTCGCATTTATTAGAATTTTTTTTATATCAATTATTAGTACAATATTTAACAATTTATTAAATTGACTTTTGGTAAGCCTAAAGTATTCTTTGAATTTAGTTCCGTCATCAATTAAATGTTTCATTATTAGCATACTAAAAAGCACCCTCCCTTTCTTCTTTAAACAAACATTTTATGAACATTTCTACGCGTTTTTTGCATTAATGATAATAGCAAAATGTCATCGTATTCTGCTTCTTCTATAAGCAACTGTGCTGCGAACACAAGTTCACTAGTAGTCATTTTTGTCGAACGAAATAAAAAATACTGATTGGCGACTAGTCGATTACTTGAGGTGACGACGTAAACAGACCACTAGGTGCGATCAGGTGCATTTAGACATTCGATCATGTATTAGGATAGATACGCCTTGCCTGTGGAAGTAATGAGTTTAATGATTATCTAGACGGGGAGAGAGGAAAGGTATACAAACGGAGAACTTAGCAGTGCCGTACCGTATGGAAGGGATTATATATTGTTAATTACTATAAAATGTTAGATGAAAGCGGATGGACATGATTTTAAAAATATTGTTTTATAGCGTATATTTTTAACTTTCAATGTAAGAATAGTTTTTCACAGTATTGTGATACTACATAGACCATGCACAGGCTTGTCATATTGTATATTATTTACTCAATTTTAAACAATTTATATACATTTTGAGTAAATATACCTACTATAAAGCTTGACTGATAAAAGAGAAAAGAAAATAAAAAAATATTGTGAAGAACCCGTTTTATATGTAAAGCAAGAATATTATACATATTTCTGACTACATACCTTCCTTTATGAAATAAAATAAAGACCAATTAAAGCATTTTATTTATCAACCAAAAATAGTTATACACAAATAATAATAATACTTCTCCCTAATTACGGAGATTAATGAACTTTATTATTTACAAAGTACTCTAGCAAAATTTTGCCGTACACAAGTTAGAGGGAACAGAAGAAATAATGGCATTTTGTTTGTTCTCTATTTAAACAATTCTGACAATGCATGAAGTGGTGTGACTAATTTAAAATGGGTAGCGTCGATTGACATTTTCTGATATTTTTAAATACCTGTAATAAGAATCCCTTATTTAAAATGGTTTTATTTGGATAGATGGCTATTTTTTAAAAATTTAAATGCAAATAAAAATCTACAATAAATAGGTACATATTATATATAATTAAAAATAAGCGTCAAGATTTATTTTCATTTTTTTTTAAAATAATATTTAAAGTAGTTCATTCGCAAGACGACTTTTCTTAAGAGTTCAATAAAATTAAAATATAAGGTTAAAGAAAATGTCTTTTACGTACCTAACAAAAAAAAATTTTTTTTGACCGTCTGTGAAACGAGATATTAACAATGAAATTGTGCATAATTAACAGTCTTAAAGCCTGTCATGTACATTAGTAATGCATTTATTTCAAGATATTTCGAAAACAGTTCTTAATATATTTTTTTAAAAACTAATATAATGTAAATCAGAAAGTTATACAATTTTCTAAAAAAACGTTGAATTTTTTGACCGTTTTGGTAAAAAGATAGATTTTTAAAAGAAAAATATGTTTAAAGCAGTCGACGCGTAGTGGGGTACAACTGGATTACAACTTGGCAACATTGTTAGTTCAGAATCACTGAATTACACTCGATCAGCTAAGAGGTTGTTATAACCTCGTGAAGTGTTCTTGAAAAATTAATTTGTCTACTGTATTTAAGAACTGGAATCGACGCTTCTGTTTGAACCAAAACAAAACCTTAAAATTAATATGAAGAAGTCACAAAATGTCTATAGGTATACACTTGATATCGCACCATTCCTATATTTGTGACGTTGCCGGATGGATTTTACTTGAAATAATAACGTATCCGTACATAAGCTTACATGTGTTGTGTTCAGTATCTTACAAAAATAACATTTTTCAGCATTGAGAATCTCAAACTATTGGCGATATTTTTGTGTACGACTGTCGCGCGTGAACTACCTTAATAATTACTACATGTAAACAACTCATTTTAAATTGGTCGGTATTAGATACCATAAGTATTTAGTATATTTACCTGCAGTAAAATTGTTTACAATTTAAAACCCATTGGTTATATTTAGGCAGTACCCCGCGCATATGGGATCATTATTATGTTCCTCCATAATCCAAGGGGGTTTACCGTTTTGATTATTTTGTCTTGAAATTGTATACTGATATTTCGAAAAAAGAGTCACTTCCATGGTTTTATGCAATATTCAACATTTTAATTGACAATTGGCAACGTTGTAACCATTTGCAATTATTATACAGGCTCCTTATGAGTGCGAATAATAAACAATATTTTCATATCAATTTGCTTCTAAATGCCCAATTAAACGAATACATGAATTTCTTAGAATACTGAAGACTTTTACGTAAAAATTATGATGCGATAGCAATTGTACAAAAAAGGTTTACCAAAATATGAGAGGCATGTCACGACGCTTCTGTCAAAAATAAGGGTAGCTTAGATATTAGATTTAAACGGAGTTTGACATTATGTGTACGTGTCCACCGCGACCTTTTCAGATCTATTGTGGGACTCCGTTTGTTTTAGAGTTTGTCATCTAAGCTTGGACTTTTTTATTAGACTTATTTTCCTTGACAGTGGCATCCACATGCATGTAGTCACATATGTCTGGCTTTTTTTCATCTAGTATAAGAAATCTCAATCTAGTTAGGCTTTCACATTAGTGCAGGACGTGAATTGATGTTTCCTTTTCTAATTCACAGAACCCGAATAAATTAAAAAAATAAATACCTTGGGAGATTCTACTTCTAGTACACACCAACTACGGTTGCTTATTACATTGTTCTTGCTTCTTTTTTGCAAAAAAAGTAAAATGTATACGTGTATTTGATACGCCAAAATTACAAAATATCGCCCTAAAGTGGTCGAATTATCTGCAGCTTGCGCTAGTATCGCTTTTGCTTCCCCTACCATAACTTCGCACTGAGCGAATATAATCATCATACGTTCACACATATACATTTTCTATACTACTTCCCTCAACGAAGTATGTACTAAAAAAAATATGTTTTCAATAATGGGTTAATATAATCAAAAAGTATACTTTGTGTTTATTAAACTACAATCGGGAGACAACAGTTCTAAGCTATTTTTCACAGTATTTTAGACCTCAATAACACTTTGTTTCAGAAACGAATTGTTTAACTAGGTGTAAGTAGACGTTTGCAATAAATACCTATAAATTACTTTTTACCTATATCAATACGAAAGTATGTATATAAAGACGCACTTGTTTACTTACTCTATTAACAAAACATTGGATTTCAAATAAAATGTTCTATTTTATTATAGCTAAATAAATCTTCATGTGAAAAGTGATCTGAACAAACTTTGGCATCTTTCAGTTTTGAGATCTTGCTCATTTATTTTCAAGTCGTTCAGCCACAATAACATTAGACAATGTCTCTCGGAAACGTGTAAAACGTATATACCATAAAATATCCAGTTTCTACTATTAGGTATTTTTATATCAAGAAATAAAAAAACCCTAGCACAGTTGTTACGCCCATGGATATCTACATTATTTACATTTCATGAGATTGATTTTGACATAACCTACCTGTGAAAATAGCAAGCATTGGTTTTGGGTGTTTTTGGTCCAAAATGTTCGGAAAATTATGCATCTCTTTACTGCTTTGAAATGTATAATCACGTTTGTAAATAATTTCTTTCATATAAATAAATAAAACAATACCTTAATAAAGATAAAAAGTATTTTTATTGCCTCTCGCAACTGTTATAATAAACGTTTTGTTTAGTACAACCCTCGTATCCTAGCTGTGATGGTATATTCTTGCGCATGTGTAAAACATGGAACAATTCCTCTGGTTAGCAGCTTTTCAACCATACCAAGTGTATCGTCAATCTACCTGTCCTTGTTTTATAGGTTTAATTTTGACAGTCATACAGCGACGTATGTCGTGATAATTCCGTTCAAATTGTAGCAGCAGATGACGGCGGTGATGGAGATTGTAGAAAGCTTTTTGTCAGACCTTTTTATTTACGTTGGATAGTTCGATAGTCGAAAAGTGTTTCAAAAAGGTGTTTTTGGATACTTTTTTATGTTGATTTCAAAACTTTCATGAATAAGTTCATCCACCACCGAGAAAATAATGTGATCGTTAATTGTTTATGTAGTGACGTGAGTGAAGTGGATCTTACATTTTTTGATGTTTCTAACTTAAAATTTTGCAACATGTGTAATAAAAATTTTAACCGAGTACAGTGTTGAACACAAATATGTACGAAATTGGTTAAACCTAAATGACTGTCCTATAAGTATTGCAATACTATGTACCCTCAAAATAAAAATGAAACGGTTACTAAATCAAAAATTCCTTGTATGTATGACCGTCCCTGTGATCCAAAGGACAGTAATTACGAAAAAGTATTTTGCCCTAATAACGAACTTTCGGAACCCCCCCGTGCGAGAAGTGATAGACTGAAGACTGGTTCTTCCTGTCAAGCCCTAAAACATGCCGTGGCTGCTCTCCACCCTTTGGACGATTTCCACAAGGAAAAAATCGGAGAAGGATTTTTTTCCGAAGTTTTCAAGGTAAATTAACCCGTATACCTTTAAATATTTATAGTTTTTTATAAAATTGACTATATGTAGGTCACCAAATGGTAGTTTTAACCTCGGTAATACCATAAAAGAGAAGATAAGGTGCTTCAATAAAAATGTAAAGTGACTAATATTGCTCTTTTTGTAAAAAAAACTTGAACAATAAAATAACTTGAGGTAAACAAAAATCTGTAAATAGCTTGGCCAGAAATCGTGGTTTATTTTTAAATCAGGCAATCAGCCTCTGAAATTGTATATCTGTGAAATGTGGATTTTCAAATGTAGGCAATTCTTTCTAACAATCTGCTTATTGATAGTCTTAATTACGCATTTTTTTGGGCAAGTAAACAGCAATATTGGCCAAAAATGTATTTCTGTCACCCAGGAAAAAACATTTAGGTACCCACTATAAATAAATATCAATAAAATTACAGGTACTTTTACAATTATTAAATTTGCCATATCTTACCTAGGTACATCCTTTTAAATAGATGTTTATGTAAAATTCTGTTATCTATCTAAGTATTTGATATTTTTATTTTTTTATTGTTTGTAGACATTGTAAAATAAAATGATAATAGAAGAGAACTACTCTTTCCAAATTGTAAATTTTACATATCTCAAATATTTACTATGTACTTATCAGTTAATTTATCATAATATGCTTTATAATTAGTATATCTTACAGCTTTCTTATTTACCTCATTTGATTTGCAATGTGATATCAAAATTTTAAAATAGGTCAATTTTAATTTTAAATCAGCTCTGTCTGGAGCTGTGTGTTCTGATATTCTGAATATTCACTCAATAAGCATTAAATACAAGATCAATTAATATGACTTAGTTGGACTATTTTTTCCACTATTTTGCACTAATTTGCATCACACAAATGTGAAACCAGTGGGACTGAAACAAAAAAAAACAAAGTTAAAACAATCTTAATGCTATCTACTTACTTAAATTTACACAAATCAAAACAAATTGTAATGTCTAAAAATTTAACCAACTTATAATGACTTAATTTTAGATTAGCAAAGTTATATTAAGTAGGTAATCAATATAGTAGAGACATGCTTAATTAAATAATAATTCTGTAGATACTGAATGTTCACCTATTAAAACAAATTGAATAATTAAAAATTAAGAAGAAATAGCAGGACCACACTATTGAAAACTTACTTTTCAAAACAAGAAAAGTTGCGATAATCTGTTCAAGATGCATGTACCTAAATTCATCAAATATCACAGGAAAGGCTAGAGAAGCCCAATATTACTAAATTTCTATTAGGGAAAATTTATTGAAATCCTAGAATAAATAGTATATAAGTACTGAGTATTTTTTTCTAATTTTAGAATTAATTATGAATTTAAATAGAGGTTAAATTAAAAATTATGTATACTTACAATCCGTTAAGTTCATTTCAGTATGTGTCTATGACTCTATGTAATGTTTATACCTTTTGGAATCTCTGAAATCTGTGGTCATAGAAAAAATATAGTGTACAACATGTGCGCAAAACTCTTTTCCCACAAACTTTGCTACTATTATGTACCATTTATTTATGGGTTATTCCATTAATACTCTACTGCAGTTCCTTTTTGCTCTTTGCAAATATTGCATATTTGTTTATAAGCACATTATCCTGCATTTTACTTAATTATTTTGATTTAACATGTATAACTCTAACCTTATGCAGGTATATTATATGGGGCTGTTCTCTTTCCTTTGAGCCTAGTGAAGTAAAACACAGTTTATTTAAAAAAAAAAAAACATTTATTTACAATTTTTCAAAGTATTCTCAATGCATTTTTGCATTTGCGAATACAATTTTAGAAAACATCTCCAATCTTCTGGCCATATTTTATTTTATTTTTAAAGGTATCAACTGTTTCGCTGGCCGATGTGTATGGCTATATGGCGAATTACCCATTATTTCTATGTTTTGGGCATTTAAATATTCTTGATGCAAGATGGTCCTTCCTCTTGGATGTTTTTTGTGAACCTTTTGGAAAAATTGAGGCAAACAAACTGTAGTGTACCATTCTGAATTAACAGTATGTCTATTCTCCAGTGGGAACATGATGTCCAGTAATTTCAAAAAAAGCTGCAACCATCTTTTAGTTTCGACTTTGTTTTACGAACAATTTTTATTAGAGCCATCTTATTCGCAAAGACCCAAACTGAAGATTGTCGCTTTTTTCGGGATCATAGCAGTCTACCCATGTTTTATTACCTGTGATGATGTTAGAAGATCCACTTTCTAAATGTCTAGTGTGGATCTGCACCATCTCACACGGTCTTATTTTTGACCAGTGTGACAACAGCCACGAGTTCCAGCCATGAGTTTGACGGCGGGAACCAAAGCACCAGCAGTAATCAATCATCCATGGCTGGGCTAAATTGCAAATAAATTAATTTTTTATGTATAAATTAGCTTGTAATTAAATTTCCATTTGATGTATTTCTCAGAATATTTTGCAGGGCAGGAAATCACCCTCAAATCCAGTCCTTACATTAAACACTTAAAAAATCTTTGCCTGCTTAAATAGCAAGTAAATGAATTTTTTTTATAAATTTATGTGCTCAACCTAATGTATATCTCAAAATATTTTGCCGGTCTGTAAATCACCCTCAAATCAACCCCTTACATTAAACATTTCAAAAATCTTTACTTTCTTAAAATGCAAGTAAATTATTTTTGTTATAAACAAATTAGCTTGTATTTATGTCTTCTATTTGATGTACCTATATCTCAGAATATTGTGCTGGGCAGGAAATCACCCTCAAATTTAGCCCTTATATTAAACACTTAAAAAATTCTTTGCCTGCTTAAATAGCAAGTAAACAAAAATGTGCTCAACCTAATGTATATCTCAAAATATCAACCCCAAATTAATTTACTTGCATTTTAAGCCAGTAAAGATTTTTTAAATGTTTAATATAAGGGGTTGGATTTGAGGGTGATTTCCTGCCTGGCAAAATATTCTGAGATATACATCAAATAGAAAACAAATACAAGTTAATTTGTTAATAAAAAATTAATTTACTTGGATTTTAAGCTAGTAAAGATTTTTAAATGTTTAATATAAGGGGTTAATTTGAGGGCGATTACAGCTCAGCAAAATATTTTGAGATATATATTAGGTTGAGCATATAAATGTTATCAAATTTATATAAAAAAATTTCATTTACTTGCTATTTAAACAGGCAAAGATATTTTAAATGTTTAATATAAGGGTTGGATTTGAGGGTGTCCTTGCCGGTAAAATATTCTGAGATATACATCAAATAGAAGAATTAATTTACTCGCATTTTAAGCCAGTAAAGATTTTTTTAAATGTTTAAAATATACGGGGTTGATTTGAGTGTGATTTACAGCCTGGAAAAATATTTTGAGATATATTGTGACGTTTATTTAATTTATTTATAGTTTATTTATTTAAAACACTATTTACAATTTATTTATGACATACTAATTAATTTATATAATACTTCTAACTCATAATGCTAATTTATCTTTTCAGTCCAATACTTTATTTTAAACTGCCCGTCCGTCGACGAACTTGCGTTATTTATACAAAGCCCACTCTGTACTCGTAGTTTCTAGACGCTTTCGAATGTCACCCGAAAATTCCATCTCTATGACTCAACGGCCACGTATTGCTTTTTCTGGTAGATTCGAGAAGCGGTGTGTTTGTCTCTATACGTCAGCGGTGTTTTGATCATGAGTCGGTTGGCAGGCTTCAAGGTCGCGTTTTACAGGGACGGCTTAGGCATTCCCCTGACAATATATTAGGTTGAGCACATAAATGTTATCAAATTTATATAAAAAAATTTCATTTACTTGCTATTTAAACAGGCAAAGATTTTTTAAATGTTTAATATAAGGGCTGGATTTGAGGGTGATTTCCTGCCCGGCAAAATATATACATCAAATTGAAGACAAATACAAGCTAATTTTTACATAAAAAATTAATTTACTTGCAATTTAAGCCGGCAAAGTTTTTTAAGCATTCAATACATTATATATGCTTGTTTTGAGGGTAAATAAATTTACCTGCGTCATGTTAGCAAGTAGCCAGCCAGCAAGCAATAAATTGAGGTGGAGGTCAAAGCGCCAGCGGTCGGACCAATTCTTTAACATCTAATTATTTTAAATTTCGACATAAAGAATACATTTAATCATAATTTTTTGCATTATAATTAATATTATCCTTAAAATTATATTAAGGGATTTAGAGAGGGCTAAAGTTTTTATTGCTAGAACGAAATTTGTGTTTTTCAACAATTTATTTAGTCTATTCGATAGATAATAATGAAACAACTTTTTCAAATACCATTTTAAATGCTATATGGGTAATAAGGGATTTAGAGAGCTTTGAAATTTCAAAGTTTTTATTGCTGAACAGAAATTTGTTTTTTTCAAAAAATTATTTAGGCTATTCGATAGATAATAATGAACCAAACAACTTTTTCAAATACCATTTTAAATGTCTTATGGGTAATAAAGAATTTAGAGAGCTTTGAAATTTTAAAGTTTTTATTGCTAGGACGAAATGTGTTTTTCAAAAATTTATTTAGGCCATTCGATAGATAAAAAGTTGTTTCGTTTTATTATTATCTATCGAATGGCCTAAATAAATTTTTGAAAAAAACAAATTTCGGATCAGCAATAAAAACTTTGAAATTTCAAATCTAAATCCCTTATTACCCATATAGCATTTAAAATGGTATTTGGAGAAGTTTGTTTTGTTATTCTCTATCGAATGGACTAAATAAATTTGTGAAAAAAACAAATTTCGGTTCAGCAATAAAAACTTTAAAATTTCAAAGCTCTCTAAATCCCTTATTACCCATATAGCATTTATAATGGTATTTGAAAAAGTTGTTTGTTTTTTTATTATCTATCGAATGGCCTTAATAAATTTTTGAAAAACACAAATTTAGTTCTCGCAATAAAAACTTTAGCCTTCTCAAAATCCCCTACTAT